TTTTCAGGAACCCGATCAATCAATGACTGCAGTTACCACAGTTTTTTGAAAAAATATTCAGGGAAAAGATTCAGACATGTTCAGTGATTATCAACGTGGAATGTATTCAAAAAAGTAATTGTATGCTGCAATAGATCGTCAGTGGAAGCTGAATTTTGCCACCATATATTTAATGCAATTATAGCTGTGATTGCACAAATTACTTTTTGGCCGTTGTGCCATGCACCCTGCCGAATGTTCAATCATATCACACAGCCACTTATGACACAGCCACTTAATTATCTTTTATCTGATCAATCGATTGCATCATCGATTGATAGCCGGTGGCATCAACGTCAACATGCCGCGGGCGCTTAATATCGTTTGATCGTGATTCTCTACTTCCGCATTCGCTCTCCCACCCCTCGTGCTCAACGTCTATTCCCGCCCTCTGGCGTGATCCACGCCTCTTCCGTCTGCCCCGCCAGCTGATCACAATCTCCGACCTCGACGCTAAATCCTCACCATGAAGATCGACCTTTGGATGAACTGGAGCGTCGCTCGGACACAAAGCAACACGCAATTGGCTACGTTCAAGTCGGATCTGGTGGAATGTGTAAGGGCCCAAGAGCAGGAGGTCAGAGCGCAGTTGGGGTATATGCTGACGGACTGGCTACTTCTGTAAGTGCCATATGCACCTGTCATGATCTGATTAATTTTAGATCAGGGAGTTGGATCACGGGTCCGACCTTCATTGGACGATCCGGGGATCGAATTCAGGAATCAGGGTCTGGGCGATCCACTGCACGGTCAGCAGTACTGGTGACCATTCGCCCTGTGGGCAAACGCAATGGGAGGACCACACTGGAAGAACGAGTACCCACTACAAACTCCACTGGCTGGGAGATGAGACGCTGTAACGTGAGTTTCGTCATTCTACAGAACCAAATTACCTCTGATGTTTCGCAGGAGCACAGAACACTTTCTTTTGATGACACAACCGTAGCTGTTGATTTCTTCTTGATAATCGCCACGTTCTTTTGTACTTAGCATTGTTATATTCTTGTAGCATACTTGCTGACCACATATCTTGACAACGTAGACTTCCACACCATACCATAGTCATTGCTATACCTAGTGTACATTTATTGCCAAAATGTAAAATAAATCTGTAGCATACTGAATGTTATTTCTACCCAAGATTTATTAATGAAGGCCGTATTCTGCTCTCCATGTGAAAATTGGTGATTTACCGCGGAGTAGATGCGCTCACTACAAGATTCCAAAACACAAGAATGGGCATATTTCGAGATTCGGTAATGTACCGCGGACTGTATACGCTCCCTACACAAATTCTGAATGGCAAGAATGGTCATATTTCGAGAATCGGTCATGTACCGCGGACTGTATGCGCTACCTACGCCGTTTCTAAAACACAAAAATGTGCATATTTCGAGATTCGGTAATGTACCGCGGACAGGATATGAGCCCTACGCAGTTTCTAAATGGCAAGAATGGGCATATTTCGAGATTCGGTCATGTACCACGGACTGAATGCGAGCCCTACATAGATTCCAAAACACAAGAATGGGCATATTTCGAGATTCGGTAATGTACCGCGGACTGTATACGCTCCCTACACAAATTCTGAATGGCAAGAATGGCCATATTTCGAGAATCGGTCATGTACCACGGACGGGATGCACTCCCTACTACATCCCAGAATGGAAATTGTACATGATACAAAAAATTGATGATCAACCGCAAAATTGTAGGGCTCCTGCTGCAGTCCATTGGTATTTAAGGGAGGTCAAATACTTTGAAGTATTTTGTGCTGGATTTATTGGGTAAATCCACAGTGTTGGAACATAAGCTGAATGTCAACACCAAGCCAACTTGACAGATTAATCCATTGGCATCTGGATATGGTAACTAGGCTCAATTGTACTCACTCATACTCTTGAGTACAGCTTCATTTGCTCCCACAGTCATTATTCCCTTGATACTTATGTTTCTATGATACTTAGCTATGTTAGGGACTACACATTTTTATTTAAATACAACTGTATTCTGGTACGTTGAATACAATCTTCATTCATTCTAATCATTCTACATGTGCTCAAGTGCTTGCTATAACAAGGATTTCAATAGGTCATAGGCCCTGACCATACCTAAAAATCCATTGAAGCACACTTCAGTATCACGTTGTCTTGCTTATAAACACTGATCATTTATTCATCCTGTCTAAGATATTCTCTTGAGATTGCCTAGTATTTGCTGCCAAAGCTGCTGGTCTTCAAGACTATTTAGACAAGGATCACAAGGCACCACATCCACAGATTTCTGCAGACCCCCAGAATCTCAAAACAGAGGAAACTGCATCAATAGCTCATCACCCAGGAGTGGTGAGGCTATGGAGATCAGAAGAGGCAATAGTAAAGCAGGGAATCACATCTACAATTCCGGATTCCCATTCTTGAAGGTTAAGGGAGAGGCAACAGCAGGAAAGATGTGGGAGAAGGTGAAGGATGAATTTGAGAATACATTGAAGATGATGACAGTGAATTTGTGCTGGAAGCTCCAATCCATACATGAGGACCTCATCACTATCAGAGCTGATTCAGGAGATGAAAACTTTGTTGCAATACTCCTAGGATCACTACTGACATCATATGACCCATATCTAGCAGCATTAACAGCAACATCTGCTCTCCTCAACAAGCCCCCCCACCCAGACACTTACCTTCATGGTATTCGTGATGAGGCTGACCGACATGCCCTAAAAACTCGGACCAAAGAGGTGAAAGAAGTCACATTCAGTGTAAATGCAAACTCATCTAAAGGTGGCCGGAAAGGAAAGGGAAAGAAATCCAATGTGGAGTGTTATAACTCCCATAAGAAGGGACATGTAAGTGCAGATTGCTGAGGAAAGGGTGGAGGAAAAGAAGGACAGGGTCCAAAGCTAAAAGGAAAAGGGAAGGCTATTGCAAATACTGCGGCAGATAGCGACGACAATGGTGTTTGGGCAGCCATGTACAATTTGGAATCCAAGGAGGATGACTGTAAATGGTTGGAAATGGCAGAACAAAATGTTGCTGAACACTTGGATGCAGAGTCTTCAAGAGGGGTGGAGAATAGTCCTTTAGAAGGGCTAAAAGTGAAATATGTGGATGAAGAAATTGCCTGGCTAACAGACGATGAAGATATCAGTCTGAGTGAGATAGAAGGCAGCAAATCCGATGCAGAAATTGACCACTCACTTCCTAATTGTTTCCCCATGAAATCGATCCTGAAAGTGACTATGGATCAATGTCAGACCTTGAGTTCACTGCTGAAACCAGAAATACGAGTAAGGAAGGAAATCTCTCCATTTATATGCATGTCATGTACCTCATAGTTCATCATTTCCAGCACTTGGTCACAATCCCAGGTCCCTTGCAAACCATGATTACATAATGACTTGTTGGAAGGTTAGGGTGGTTCCATTTTGCTACCAGGCCAAGGATGATGATGGACCGGTCACGGCACTTGCAAGATGGCTGCCTTTGCCCTCTATCCCACCTCCCAATGCTGGTCTTGTATAGCCAGAAACAACAGTGAACTGTGTGCGTTCTCGACATAATTGTATGCACATCATCGCACTATTTTTGTTCTCCTCCTCATTGTCGGGATCCACTACTACTGTTGGAATCAATGGATGAGAATAATACTCCTCTGAGGCAAAAAAAATAGGTTATCTGAAGTGATGCAACAATATTCACAGAGTCATACTTTTATGAACCTTTCTTTCTTTGCAAAAAGTCTCTCATCACCATCGCTCACTATCTTGGATAGCAGTCCAAAGATGGAGGCACGCAAAGGATTGGACGTCGGAATGGCCGTAGTTATACGTAGTAACAAGATGGTGGTTGGAGATCAACGTTAGGAGATGTGTGAGCAACAGCTGGTGTCGGAATTTTAAGTACAACTTGAACTACCACCATCCTCACCAATCAAGCCCTTTCTGCTCTTACTCTCCAAGCAATTTCCAAACCCAGCATCTCAATATCCCCTGAAAGCGAGATGATAGGCCTCCAACTCCTCAAAGTTGAAGATCTCAAGCATCACATAGAACTCTGCATGTCCTATGAATTCATCATGAGCAATCAAACTGCCAAAGACGAAATAGCAAAGGCCAAAACCTATTCAGTGAAGCAATCTCTTCTTCATGAAATGTTGGCAGGACTTAAGAGCATCAAGGTAAGAATGGGTGAAACGTTTGGTGAAGACTGGTATGTTCCACAGATTGTTTCATCCATGCCCTAGCATATTGTTTTCTTCTAGATGCATACAAGCTCATGGTTACAGAAGAGAAAATGGTTGCTTATTGGTGACTATGATTCTTTGCTGAATCTCCTTGATGCGCCAACTTTTTCATTGAACCAGGCTGACAAACGTGATGATCTTTTCCTTGCTCACCTTCAATTTTTCTGGCTCAGGATCCTCTCTTCGATCCTCCTCTGGTTTCTATTTTGGGTCAAAGCTTGAAGCTTGACTTCTGGTACATCTCAACAGAATCTCGCCAATGCATTGGCTCACCATATTGAACTGATAGATCACCCCACCCATACACTAGGATATAATATGAATAATGCATTGATTCAACTGTTTGCACCAGGTCTAGGATGTACAAGAAGTATACTGTGATGTAAATTAGTAGCTTTGGAGATGGTTATCACTTGCAGATGCACTGAAAGTCTTGATAGGTGTGTGCTCTTCTTCTGGGAAATGGATGTAGAAACTGTCTGATTTTAGATGTTGGTAGTCAATAGTGACATTGGTGAGGAGGAAGTGACAACACACATAATTGGGCAGTTAACATTCCCAATAAAGCCCAATTGAAAAGGCTGCCAAAGAACTTGGAACAGAATCAGAGTCACATGGGGAAAATGTAGTCATAGACTCACGACTGGTCCAATACTTCAATGTTTTAGATGAAGAAGAGAGTGAATGATAAGTAACATACTACAGAAGTCGGATTGTCAGAAAGGATGGTACAGAGGTCATGGTTGGTCGATATAATGCTAGGAAAAGGAATCCAGAAATTGATTTTATATAGTGAAGGTCAGCAGCATTCAAGTGGGTGCAGGAACTGCTGAGGGGTTTTGTGGACGATGTAACAGCAGAGGAGCTGCTGCTAGTGGTTGTTCTGTAAAAAGATCAGCACCAAACTCGATGAGAAGATGCTGCGCTCGTAGCTGAAGTGACCATCCCAGTGCCATCTGTAGTCAATACCTGGCCTGCGACCACGATAGTTCCAGAAGTAGGCTGCCCCAGCACCGGATTGGAGGAAAGGATTTAGTATGAGCTATGCCTACCCAACTTCTGTATAGCAGCCGGAGCCACAGCTAAGGTGACAGAGATTCAGAGATAAATCAGCAGCAACCAGGGCTGGTGGTCACAACAAGGAAAAGACACATAGTTGATGACAGATGAAAAGTGGCAAAATCGCAGCCAAAATTGGAACACTCAAGGGGACAGATCTAGTAGGAAAAGGGATGGAGAAAGCATCATAAGAGACTAATCCTTTTGATATTGAAAAAGGTAGGGACAAAGGCACAGTAACAAGAGGAGGGACAAAGACAAAGGGAAGTGAAGAAAACATAACAGACCC